CGGCGCCGGAGCGGGTGCGAGCTGCGGCCCCGCCTGCACAGCTCTCGCGTTGCCGCGTTGCCAGGCTGGGGCTTTGGTGGGTCTGGCCTGGAGGGGAAGCCGAGCACTGGCTGTTTTCTAGGTTAGGGGACCAGCTGCGCCATCAGGCTGCGAACACTCGGCGGAACCGTTAGAGACCGTGCAGCTCACGCCTCTGGGAGAGGCCCCGAGTGCCCCTGAGCTCCAACCAAGTCCTACCTGGTAAGAAAAATGAGTGTTGTTCTTAACAGCACCCCAAGTACTGGAGGCAGTCAGGGTGGCTGTGCAGGGGATGGGGCCAGACTGAACGGGTGGCGTGTGGCCGCCAAGGAGCTGGACCTGCGCCCCTGAATTAACCTCAAGAAATCAGAGCCGCGCACCGTCCCCGCTGGCCCGCCACAGGAGCCGCCTACCTGGCGTACAGGAAGGCCAGCAGCCTGTCCAGCAGGTGCAGTTTCCCACTGGCCTCGATCAGGTGGTCCCCGATTTCAAATGGCTCTGGCTCGGCCCCTGTAAAGGAAAGAGCCCCTCCAACAGCGAGCCCGGTGCGGGGAGGCCCCCGGGCGGGAGGTCGCCAGCCAGGCCAGAGCGAGAGGCCGAGCCGCTCCGGGCCAGTGGGAGGCCCGGCCCGTGTCTCCTGGGGGCACTTCACACCCGCTGTCCCCTACGACATGGTCACCCAAGGAACAAGCCCCCTCTTAGGAAAGGCAGGCGCAGGACACCACCGATGGCCAGACAGACCCAAAATTAAAGTCTAGAGGTGCTCACTCTAGGAAATAAATCAAGAAACAGCTTAGATACACAAATGTCCCCAGCGCTGCCCCTTAAAAAATATCTGAACTGCACCGAAGACTGCTGTGAGCATGAGTCACTTCAGACCGCGGCGCTCCCCGCACTTTCTCTTCAGGTGGCTGCAGCCGACCTCCGTGCTGGCCGCGCCCAACTGGGCCCGGCGGCCAGGGAGTCGCGGACTGCCCAGGGTGACCCGAACGCCCTGCTCCACGCTTGGGGAAGACACGACAGTTTACAGACGTCTGCAAGGGCGGGGCGGAGAAGCGCAGACCCGCAGCCGGGAGGCGCCTTGGGAAGCGACGGCCCAGGCTGCACCGGAGGGCGGCGCCGGC